TTGCCGCATTGGAATACACCACCTACTTATCTTCACTACCGACAAATTAGTCAGCTGGTTTATTATTATGAACAAAGTTCAACGTCGGTGTAGTAAAATGTCACCTGAGGGGTTAAAGAGCCGCAGCTCTTCACGAAGCCGCTGATGTATGATGACAGCTGCACCGCCGCACCCAGCACCGCAGCCGCTGGCGTCGGTTATATAACTTTAAGTGTTTGTAGTGTTACTGTAATAGTTGACTGTAGTTGGCAGGCGGACATACTGAGGTAAACCACAATACTGTAGCGTAGCAATTAACTTAACGGTAAGCCAGGTAAGAGACAAGTAGCGGGACGCCCATTCAGCTCAACACCTCAAAGGGAAAACTGTGAGTAAATGGAGAGAGCATTGATATATCTGTGCTCAATAATAGACAACAGGCAATCAATGGCTTCACTAAAGCTAACAGCAAACGTTAGCTAGAGTGGCTCGCATTAAAAAAAGGTTTGAATGGTTTTTATGTTAGTCAGCTTTTAGGTTTCTTGATACATTAAACTTAAACTAGATGCTACACTCTTGTCTTATTCTGCTAATCTTTGTGTAAGACTAAGGGGAGTCTGGTGAGGCCTAGAGTGTATTTTCACATCAGGCCTGTGACTTATTGTGTTGAAATATGTACTGTTGTTAAACTAATCCCCCTCTGACAGACACTGAACTCTCTGGTTCATCCAGTATGCTGATGTTGGCTAGACAAACAGTATGAGGCTGTCAGACACTGTTTAATCTGTCTTTCTCACGGTATCTTAAACCACGTCACCTGAATTATTCCTCTTTGTGTATGTATTTGCACAATAACACAAATGCATAAAAAAAATGCATAGATATAGAAAAGGTGTAATTAGAGCGCATTAGAGGCTTATTCAGAGTTCTTCCTCTGTTTTAGCAAAATAAAAACAAAAAACTGGCATTATTATTTAAGAAAAAGAAGCAAATAAAGCACATAGCACGAACAAGCAGTAATGCATAGTAAAATAAATACATACACAACACAACTTGTCTATGGACAGTGATGAGTATTTTCTAAACAGAGGTGCAGATGAATGTCATCTATTTGAATGGTAAATCATTTTCAACATATTGGAAAGATATTTACTGAAAATGTTATTTATAATGCCCTGATGCCTTGTTTTTATATGTATGTGAATGTTTTTAGTACAACATATGTGATATCACTGCTTTATTTAATGTAAAACATGTCTTGAATAAAGTGGTGCATGAAAATAATCTGTCTTTCTCTCCTCAGTCCGACAACCATGGCCTCCACTTCGCCACACAACTTCTCCTGGGTCGAACCGGGCAAACTGGCCGGACTGGCACTGCCCAGGATGACATGTGAATACCAGTACCTGCTGGACAACGGTATCAAACACCTGGTTTGCCTGTGTGAGAGAAAACCGCCTTACCACGACTCGTGTCCAGAGCTGCAGCTGCACCACATCAAGATAGCCGACTTCACTCCTCCTTCACCGAGTCAGATCGACAGATTCCTCTCCATCGTGGAAGAGGCCAACTCAAAGGGGGAGGTGAGAACTCAGATACTTGATAGGCTGTGCTTGATGGATGGTTACACTTATAAAGTGCTTTCAGGACTCTCCAGGGTTGAGCCTAGTGTTGTACGCAGACTCGCAAGCCACAAGCACTGTAACCTAATATATCTGGCATAAGTTAACTGTGTTTTGGCGAAACCTCCTGGCACAGTGGAAAGGAAAAACTCTCTTACAGCTCCTCCAGCCTTTGTCAGACTATGGGATTAAGTACTATGTATTACATTTTTTTAAATTTTCACAAAGGCTATCAGCAGCAAGGTTTTTACTAAAGCTTACTCTGTTGCTTGTCTGGTTTTCTTCTTCCAGTAGTCAGACAGGGTCACCATCCCGTTTTCTTTTTAGTGGTGCTTGCAAAAAGCGTTGCATATGACAATAACTATTATTTCTTTTAATTAAAGTTTATTTTATTGTTGCTTAGCCTGCTGATTATTACAGCAGTTTATCGTTTGTTCTGTAACATGTCAGAAAATAGTGATAATTACTTTAGTAAACCGGACAAAAAACACCAACGAAAAGGAGCGAACTACTGTCTGCTCCGTAGTCGAGCTGCACAAATAATGGAACAAAAATCAGCTCCACTTACAAAAGCAAAATGCAGATTCGTGTCTTGTAACTGAAGCAGGATGTGTGTGCTGCTGTGTTACAGACCATTTAACAAAATAAATACTGTATTGTTCCTCTTCAGGGCGTGGGAGTTCACTGCATGCACGGACACGGGAGAACAGGGACCATGCTGGCCTGCTACCTGGTGAAGACGAGGAAGTTGTCCGGGATCGACGCCATCAACGAGATCCGCAGACTGCGACGAGGCTCCATCGAAACCCACGAACAAGAGAAGGCCGTGGTGCAGTTTTATCAGCGCACAAAGTAGCGTAAAGGAACAAAAGCAGACGTACCAGTGGGTTTTTACTGTTAGTAAAGTAAATACAATTATAAATACATTAAGTGGAGTGCGCCTTGATTATACTGCTAAATTAAAACTTTATTATGTTGGAGTTGGAAATACAAGAATGAATCTTTAAACAGGATGAAGACATGTCCTCAATACTGTACCCGACATTGACATTACTCACAGACGAAGCCTGGGACATTTCACCAAAACAAACATTTCTACTGTAAATACATACGCACGCTGCCTTTTTACATTACTGTATACTGTCATTT